CCACGCACACACACACACATACACACGCACATCCCCCCTTACACACACATACACGTACACACACATAAACAAACAAGTAAAAACACTCACATTTAGATGCTCGGTCCCCGCCCCTGGCCAGAACTTGGGGTCAAGGTTCGACCAGGTGGAAATAAACAGCTTGGCCGTCTGGTTGAGAGGGTCCACCAGTTGGAAGCCTGTAATGTCCAGGCCGCCGATCTTGAAGTTTGTCAGATTGATTTCCAACATACCCTGGACACACAGAGAGAGAACTGGGTGAACATGGGGAAATGGTATGGGTTTAACGCCCCTATGAACACTGTTAGGTTATTTAAGAGGTGGAACCTCCAAGTTTAACGTCCATCTCCGAAAATACTGATCCAAGCCGGAAATTCGTGTTAAGTGCCATTCCGAGGGATACAAATGTCAGACCGGACTGAGGCTCGAAGCCCCGACCCCGCAACCTCACGATTACGTGTCCGGTAGCCTAACCTACACCATTGCTGCAACGCAAGACAGAGTGAAGTGTAGGTCCATGATCGCCCATGCCAGTCGGCAAGGCACCGGATGATGATGATGATGAGTCTAACCACTAAGATACCGTCGCCACTAGGCCTGGGTAATAATAATAGTAATAATAAGGATAATAATACTTACTATTTACTTACTCTCCTCTTATACCCTACAACTAGACTGTGAAATTGATTTTAGTACCCCTTGATTTTTCGAACTCTTTCGACACAAAAAGACAGGATCATATTCCTGAAACCATGAGACAAACCCCCCACAAAACCCCCGGCATAATTAAGAAATAGGCAACCAAACCAGCACATATACGCATACATCGACGCCACGCTTGCTTGTCTCTGGCCACCTTCTCCATTCTCGGCACATCCAGTCCTTCCGAGATTGCCTCATCTTTAACTCTACCTCTGTAACTTCCAATTAGTTTACCTCTTTTTTTCCCCTGTAGGATTGCCTCATCCCTAACTCTACATCTGTAACTTCCAGTTAGTCAACCTTCTTGTTTTCCAGCTGGTCTCCAATACCTTGTCTGATACGACAATCTTGTCTTCGGCATTCTTAGAACATATTCTACATATCCCCATCTTCTCCTTTTTACAGTCGTGTTGATATCTTCAATTTCAGCCCTCTTCAACACTCAATTTTTTGTTGTACATTCATTTTAGTTTATTATTAACATTCATCATACACATTTTGTTTGAAAGATTTGTTATTTTCGATGCATTTCTTTATTAATTTTGTTTTCCATAACTCTGATCCATACAACAGTACGGCCAAAACAGTGCTAATATATCATGTTTTTAACTTCGTCTTCAAAAAAACAATCTTTGACTTCCATGTGGTTTTTAATTTTACAAAAGCGATCTATGTATTTTCAGTCTCTGATGGACGTCGTCATGGCAGTCTGCAGGTTTCGAAACAATGTTGCCAAGGTACTTGAGTTAACTAATTTCTGAAAGACGTTCTCCATGAAGAGTGATGGGCGTGGTAGTACTACTACTACTACTACTAAAATATAATTTTAAAAAACAAAGATAATTATAATGATACTACTACTGCTGCTACTACTACAACTACTACTACTACTACTACTACTACTACTTCTCCTACTACTACTACTACTACTACTACTAC